GTATGCTCCATAAAAAATCATGAAAAACCTTCAGAAGGTGCAGCCTTGTTCCCGTTTCCCATCACTACAACCGTGAGGGTTCTCTAAGAAAAAATCGGGCGGTCGTGGGACCAGAGTAACTGCTGATTCAAGTTTTCCCCTCTCCGCGTGCTGCCATCAGGTTCGTGGAGAAGAATCGGCGTGACGTAGAGGAGAAGACGGAGCAACTGAAGGCCATATCCAGCATCTCGGCTCTCTTTGGTCTCTGTGCCACAGTCACGCTTACCCAGCTCAGCCTGGATAAGGAGGGAGAGACTACCGCACCTATTGTAAGTAGATTTGATTCCTTATTTTCGGCGCTATGTATGCAAAATTCCAGCCATTTGGTCATATTCATTCAAACACTTTTGTTCCACGAAGTTCTTATTTTGTCGTGTGTGCTTTTTCTCCATGCAGGGCTTGATTGCTTTATATGCACTCACAACAGCACTCGTGGTACGTGGAATTGTGTCAATTCAATCGCAGGGTGTCAGTCCAATACACCTCTCACTCATTCTACCACTCAAAACTGCAGGACTTCCCGTCACCATCGTCTCCCCCCATATGCATAATGCATTTCATGTACGCAGTTCTCATCCGCACTCAGCCACCCGTTTGTTCTTCCACTCTTCATGCACCCTCCCCTACGCTAACCCTCCTTGCCCCTGCCTCACACACTCCCTCTCTTTGCTCCTCCTCAGGAGGGCCTCATGATTGTCTCCATGGTCACCTGCGCGCTGCTTCTAGGAAGCATCTTGAAGGTCGGCAAGACCTTTGTGAGCGAGCGGGAGGAGCAGGAGTTCATGGCGGCGTGCCTTCGCTTCTGCGCGCTCTACCAGCGAGGCGACCGTCCTCCCCACCCCCGCAAGTCCTTTGAGGCCTTCTGGGCTTCCAGGTGATTCTTGAGGGTAAGGGTGGGTGGTGGGACGTGGTGGGAGAATGCCAAGGATGTGTCTGGATAGTGAATGTCAGGCGCTGTGCGTTTGGTCCGGCATTGTGTCACTGACATGTGTGATTGTTCCTGCTTGCGATGCATTTTCAGGTGTGAGGGGAGCTGGCAACTTGCCTTTCAATGCTGCTGCTTGGGTAAGATCTGGAATTTGACATTCTGGTGACGTTTTCTGCTTCTTGCATTGTCGGTGGCGATATGAGGTGTATCAATTCTGATGTCCTTTTCTGCTCCACCTGGCAGGTGTGACTTCTTTTCTCGTTAGCATGATCTCTGTTGGGTAAGTAATCAGGGATGGGCGTGGGCCTTGGTTGAAGTGGATGGGTTTGTGGCTGTAGACTTACGGGTTCTGAATATTTGACTTGTTTTTCCTTGCAGGTGGATTGTTTTCATCCCACATGAGATCACTCAGGTGTCGTTCGGCATTGCTGTCGCATTGGCCGTGTGCCTATGGTAGGCTGTTGCATCTGTGGTTCTCTTGCAACTAATGTATGTAACTGTTCCATTTCATTCGTGCCCTACATCACTTGATGAGTCACCATGTCGGCTATCTGTGGTTTCAGGACCTATGTTCAGTGGGCATGGGGCTTATTGGAGAAGTAGTCGAAGAGCCAAGGAAACTGGCGATTTACAATATTCGAGATCTATTTCTCGGTCATCTAGAGCATTATTTTCATCGTCTCGCAGGAGCCTGCCAGCAATTAGTGCTCAACCTCCTGGCGGATTTGCAGGTTTACCATTTGACTGGCATACTGCTCCGCACCACCTTCCTTCCGCCATAAATGTTAGCATCTATCGCACTCGCTCACAATCTAGAGGTCAGAGCTTCATTGGTGTAGGTTGGGTCCAGTCCAAGACAACTGCACCTGTGAAGCAGTTAACAATGCGCGATCCGTAAGCTATTTGCGGATCCCTCTTATCGGATATGAGAAATCTGACTCGCTGTCGGAACCTCCCGCGCGCTTTCAAAATTTTCCCGCGCCCCGACATTGCCTCGGCCTCACCCACCAGGCAAGCCAACGCGGCTCAGGCGAGAAGAAGCGACTGACACGCTGGGGAGACACGAACTGACATTCAACAAACAGAATTGGACAAACACGGAAGAAACCAGATGTTCAGCGAAGGCAGGACGCCAGGTAATGGTAGAGCTGATGCCTGGAGTCACTTGAGACATGTCATGGAACCACTGAACTATGTGTGACTGCAAAAGCAACAGCACCCACATCAGAAGATCCTTAGTCTAGTCAATCACGGAAGGGTTAGTTCAGAGCAGCCTGATAGAGTCAGCCTCCACCAGCATTAAGGTACTAGCCTAGTAGGCAGTGCGACCAGGAAAGAGTATCGATAATTTGCGGTTAGGTGTACTCGAGCGAGAAGTGTCCGTCGTCAAGGGACTCATTCTGGAAAGTGTCAGGGCTTGGGTGCACACCTGCGAGAGGAGCTATTGATTCATCGGTCAGAGATTTAATAGCGTAGCTCAGCGTTGTCAGGTTCGCCATCTATAGCCAAAGACTTTCCCGTTCTCAAATTCAGCTAGTCACTCTTTAACACCATGGAGGCTCAATCGGTCCAGGCTGGCGGAAGTACACCTCTTCCTAGAAGAGTCATTAGCGACGCAGAAACGAGAGTTCGAGTCGTCGCAAAAAATCGTCCGCGCATTCCATCTGACCAGCCACGGGAGGGGTTCCAGGAGCGTATGGTGATAGAGCGTGAAGAAGACAGTGTGAACCTGAACTTCCCTGATCCCTGGTGAGGAAGCTTCTTAAGTCGTTTTTTTCCGTTTAGTTTTGCATTTTCGCTTTTAGTTTTACCGGTGTTCTTGGTATTATTTGATAGCTCAACTCAACTGACTTTGCTTTCCTGGTGCAGGCCCGAAAGAGCTTCAACCTTGATGCGCTGTACGATGAAACCGACAACAGCCGGACCATTTTCGGCAAAGAGATCGAACGACGCCTCGCATCACTCAGTGACGGCTACAGCCTGACGGTCCTTGTTTACGGTGCTTCCGGCAGCGGAAAAACTTACCTCATGCAGGTACGACCTGATTCTTCAGTGAACATTAAACAGCATAGACAATCAGCATAACAAGTTTTCGTGAATGTGTAAAACTTTACGAGTTACTAACTTATCCCTTTTCTGGTGGAGCAGGGAGATGGCGATGATGTTCCAGGGCTGGTATCCCTCTGCGCAGCGTGGATCGCAGCTAATCAGCTTGAGCGCGAAGGATACCAGGTGTCCTTCTCCTATTCCGAGCTGTACGGCAGCAAGGTCTTCGACCTTCTGCAGCCCCAGCAGCTCGAGATCATGGAAGACTCGGATCATGTGTTTCAGATTCCTGGTCTGCATGAGGTAAGCACGGATGAACTTTGCCGTTTCAGGTCATAGCAAACGAGGAATTAAGAGCACCTGGCTGTTGCTTCCGTTTCACACGTAACCGTTTCGTTTCTCGCAAGTGCGAAACGTGCGAAAGGTGTTTGGATACCACCAGCTTTACTCATTCCCTTCCGGTTGTCAATGGTGCAGGAAGAATTTGGTTCACTGGAATCGTTCCTCACGGCGTTTTCAAGAGCCAAGGGAAGACGACACCTCGCAGCGACGGAGGTCAACGCCGTCTCCAGCCGCTCGCACGCCATTCTCCAGTTCAACGTATGGCGGGACGACAATCCTGGCATCGTCGGCCGTCTCAAGCTCGTGGATCTGGCAGGTGCGTCAACCTTGATGTCTACGCATGCGTCGAGATATCCAACGAGCCAGACATAACGTTCGCAGCAAATGAATTCGAGAATTTGCCGTTATCAAGAGCATTTTACGTGATTTTCGAGTAATTTGTGAACGTCTGTCTGATGCAATCGTGATATTCTACTTTCCTCTCGTTGCAGGTCGCGAGCAGAACAAGGAGACGGGCAACACGGGCCAACGGATGACGGAGAGCTGCGACATCAACCTGTCGCTCTCGGCGCTGAGTCGCGTGATAGAGCAACTCAACGACCCGAATGCGAAGCACGTCTCTTACCGCGGAAGCAACCTCACCAAGGTCCTGCAGGACTCCCTTGGAGGCAGCAGCCGGGGAGTCATGATCGCCTGCCTGGTAACTGCTGCATTTCGCTTCTCCACTTCCTTCAGAACTCACGGTTTCTTTACACGTGCATGAGCTTCGACAATCTTGTCCTCGCCATACACTACGTTTTACGTTCGAGAATATTGAAGGATGGCATGTTGTTTTCCATGGTTTGTTATATTACTGAACGCTTTTCCTTTCTGTCCACCCGGCAGGCTCCGAATGACGACAAGCTGGCGATGGCGGTTCTGGAGGTGGCGGCGCAGTCTCGCCTGATCCGCAACAACGTCTCCAAGACCGTGCTGCCTGCCACCCCGAAGCAGACCGTGGCGGACCGGCGCTCCCAGCTCTCCGCGTTCAAGGCGAAGAAGGCCGCCAGCAAGGCTATCGTCCCGAGCAGCTCTGCCGGGTGGAGTCCCGCGTCTGAACAAATTGAACTATGGACGATTCAACAACGTAGCAATGCTGACGCTGACGTATCACACGAGAAGACGTGGAGTGATTTATCTGAACCACTGATTCTAAAGGCTTGCAAGCTGGTGTTGTGTGTGCAGGCCTTCTTCATTCAGTGCTCAAAAGGGTTACATCCTTACCCTGCTCGAGTTCCACGAGAGGTAAAAGGGGGATTTGGGTTCGTGCATTGCAGAGTTGGTGCATGGGTTGGTGCATTGCTGGGTTGGTGCATTATTAAATCATAACTCGGAACCTGGAACTCACGTGCTGTTTACTCTGGGTTGTTCTCATGCATGCAGCAACAAGTGGCTGGAGAGCTTCACCGCATCCTCGACCCCACTCTCTTCAAGAGAAGCCCCATCAGAGCGACCTCCGCTACCAACTCCACGCCCAGCCTCATCCCCAGGCCTCGCTCGTCTCTGCTCACCCGTCGTCCCGGCGACTTCCTGAGATATGCTGCAGAGGCACTGGGAACGGATCTAGCACAAGAGGAACCTGATTCTGCAGCAGCGGCAGTGGCTGTGGCAGAGGCGGCATCAGCATCCGCGTCAGCGTCAGGGTCAGCGGGCGGTGGTGCAGAAGAGGGGGGCGAGCAGCGGGGGTGGGAGGAGGATGCGGATAGCGGAGAAGATGACGGCGAGCATGGCGGCGAAGATGGCCTCCGCATCTGAGGCTCGCCAGGCTCTTGCCTTGAAGCGCAGCATGGCCAAGCACCACTCGCAAAAGAGGGCCGCCGCCGCCAGGCAGAGGGGGATGATCAAGCTGTCAAGCTCCGTCTCCCACGCGAAGCCAACTGGGAATGCTGCTGGGAAGCTGGTGGGGAGGCTACTGAGAAAGCTGCCAGGAATCCTCAGCGCCAGGGGTCGTCGGGGGACGGCTGCAGCAGCGGATGCTGTTGTTCAGGCAGCTGCAAACCGTGCAGCCGACGAGCTCCAGCGCCAGCGGTCGCGTGATGGCGTCGTGGCTGCTATGTCCGCTGCGGCAGCTGCAGCGAGCGTGGCGGCAGCAGCAGCGACGGCCGCGGGGAGTCCGCTTGCGCCGAATGCGCAGCAGGCGCATTTCCTCCTCATGGACACCCTGCGCCAGCGTCGGGATGGCGGAGTGCTAGCTGCAGGGGTGGGGGGTGCGCCGGACGGGGTAGGCGCACCAGAAGAGGACGGGGTTAGTGGTGAAAGTGTGAAGAGAGTGAGCAGGGTTCGATGGAGGATGGGGACGAATTGTCCTTTGCGACTCCCGGAGGGAGGCTGAGTGACGGGGAGATGGTGGGCGAGAGTGAGGGCGAAGTGGAGGGAGAGGACGAAGGCACGAGTGTGCGGGACAGGGGGTTTCGCCGAAGAAGCTGTGGGAATGTTACCGGGACAAACGCTGCTGCTGCCTCTGACACGTTTGAAGCATCCACGTGCCATGGCAGCTCGAACGGCAGCACCACTGGCAGCAGCGCGGGGTCGGGAGAGGAGGCAAGCACCGCCAACCAAGACAGTGCTGACAGCAAGGAGGAGATGGGGACAATGGGGCCGCTGGAGGGGGAAGGCGGTGGCGTCGTGGGCATTGAAGGTGCAGGTTGTGGGGAGGCGGGTAGTGGAGAAGGTTGAGGGCGGCGAGCAGGTTAAGGGCGGCGAGGAGATTGCGGGGGGGAAGGAGGTTGAGGGTAGAGAGGGGGGTTGCGGGTGGAGAGGAGGTTGAGGGTGGAGAGGAGGTTGAGGGTGGCGTGGGAGGTGAGAGTGAAGTCGAGGTGGAGGCTGGTGAGGGAACGGAGGGTGGAGAGCAAGTTGAAGGTGGGGAGGAAGTGGACGAAGGGTATGAGGGCGAGATGGTAGGAAAAGAAGAGGAAGAAGTTTCAGGAATGGCAGCAGGCGATGGGGCTACAAGCGATCCCACGTTGGATGAAGAGGCAGCACATGCAGAAGCTGCAACCCATTCCGGTGCAGCAGAGTCCTCTCCTGCAGCCTCGGAACTAGAGCACATTTCAAGTGTGTGGGCGATGGAGGAGGTGGAGGAAGAATTGGGGCGATGGTGCTGGATGCGGGGCCGTCGCGTTCTCTCTGGTTCCGGTTGCAGGGGAGAGCATAGCAGAGGAGGGCGAGGAGGAACAGGGAGAGGGAGCGCAGGAGAAAAATGTGCAGGAGCAGGGAGAGGGAAGGAGGGACCAGGTGCCGAATTCACAGGAGCAGAACCACGGCCCATTACCCCTGCAGCCGTTGACTGTGCTCTCAGGGACACCTTCTAGGCAGCCCCTCAGCACAGTATCGACCAACCAGTCATCACAGCGGCCTGCCTTCCTTAACGCTATGGTAAGTGTTGTCTATTCAAAGCCATGCATTTTAGGGAGGGCGCTCTGGATTTTATAAAGTGGCACGGGTGATATTAATGAAACGCTCGTTTGTTCTGCTGTCCCAGGTGTCGTGCGAAGCACCGGATGTGTTGCTTGAGGGTGCCATGAGGGGCCTTAGCATCGTGGACCCCTTGACCCCAGCCTGTGCCAAGGACGTCGGGACTCAGTTCGTGGTAAGTCCTTCCAATTCAGCTCGTGCAATTTGGGCATGCTACCTATAATGTTTCAATTTCACTTGAATCCAATTTAATTGTTCCGGGATTCTTTTCATGTGCAGGCTATTGCAGAGGCGGAGCTCCTTCAGAAATTCAACACGGCAACCAAGTAAGTGCTCGGGAAGCAGCTTATAGAAAGCCACAAACTCTGCTCATTTCTGTTCTTGTAAATGTCCACCACCCTATTATGTGCTTTCGGTTACTAATGCATTCGCACATGTCTCCTTCCTCCCTCCTTATCTCCCTCCCTATCTCCCTCCCTCCCTCACTCACTCCCTCCCTCCCTCTTTCCCTCCCTCTCTCACTCTCTCTCCCTCCGTCCCTTTCTCTCTCGTCTCTACCTCCGTCCTTCCCTCCCTCCCTCCCTTCCTCCCTCCCTCCTTCCCTCCCCTCGCCACTCTTCATGTCTACTCTCGGAACCTTCCGCCACATGGGACACTTGTGCAATGCAGGGAGGAGCTAATGCAGCTGACGGTGAGAGTGCCATTTGTTTCAGCTGTAGGAATCACTCTTCTCAAACCACTTTCAATGTAGCTGTTTCCAAGAGTAAGACACTTGATACTGAAAGCCATCCTTTCCCTTTTCAGGGTATCGGTCCAGCCCGTGCAACAAAAATCTGTGACTTCCGCAATACTCCGGGTGCGGGAGCCACTCCTTTTCAAGCGGTGAGTATTGCTTTTGCATTTCCTGCAAGGATTCATTCCCCCTGTTCAGTGAGACTGAAACTGCGCTTGCGTCTACTGAACTTGCCATCATGCCCACCTCCAGAAATACTGGTTTGGTTTCCCGTGGAATTGCCATTTTATGGTTAGATGGTATTTTGGATGATACTCCTCTGTATGTTTCCTCCCCTGCGTGGTTCGTGTCGCAGTTCACGGACCTCACTAAAGCAGGGATCAAGCTCAAGACGGTAAGGCCTCAAAGTCCACACTTTAACGATCGAGCCTCAACTATGAATGCTTTGTTGTGCCCTGCACTGCATTGCACTGTACTACTGTTGTTTCCACTGCCAAAGTAACTAACACCAATGTCCCGTTCATGTGCAGGCACAAAGTATCCGTGAAGGCAACATCAAGAAAATGATCCACTTCTGAGTTTCTGGTCATGTAGGATACCATAAAGCTCCTCGCTCGGTGTATTACAGATTTTCCCACTGTCGTTGGTCAATGTCGTGATGACCACTTCATATAGATATATGCCATCCTACGTGCAGCGAATTATGGACATATACTCACTCGCAGTCTTGTGGTAGGATTGACTTATTTCATTATGTGGAGCCATTTTCTGGCATTGTTTTGTCAAATCATTGAGATAAGATATGTGACACATGAGATATCGTAGGGGAAGAAATCGTGGTGCACACGCGCGAAAGAAGCAAGAAATGTAGCAGTGAAGCGAATGGAGTCGGAACCTACCGGAACCGAAGCTTTCACCGGTACAGCTCTCCACCATCCCAGTTCGCGGTGCAGCCCGTGAAGGCCACGCCCAGACCACACCTCCCTTGTTCCCACAACTCACGCGAAACAGATTTCAGCGCCCAATAGACCACAGATGTACCGCTGTAAAGTCTCATCTCCACGAGGTGTATGCCGTGTGGCTTTCTCCACCGTTTCATCTGGGCTTCCTCCACACCACCACCGTGCCGTCTCCATGCCTGTTCCACGCCTCTCTCTCGATTCCCGTTGCAGAATGCCCCCACATCTTCCCTCCATTTATCCGTTCTTCCCCTTCAACTGTGCTTTCCCTGGGGTGAGCGAGCAGCCTGATCAATGAAGTAGGGGAGATGACAGCCGACATGTTACCGTAATCTGGTTTTGAGATGTCAATCACAGGGTGCAGCTTTTCATGGCTGGTGACAAGGCACAGCGACTGCTGGGTGTGTGCTGGGTGCTTCAGCAGCACACAGCCTCCGTATGGTAACCGCCTGTATGTCTATGGAGCATCTTCATTCCGTCGACCGATAAGTTGAGGGTTTTCGCTTCTGATCTTGGGAACAAGGCTGATAAAGCTCGAGCCTGTCTCAGGTTGGATCAAGTCAGCCTCGTGTCCGCCTCCTGAGATCAACTTTCCGATTCACAGTTTCTGCATCTGGTCACCCTCACCGTCTAGCGGTTGCACTTCGAAAGACTTATCCTTTTTTCTGATAACCACTCTCCGCAGTGGAGTGGAGCGTTTTATCAGATATCACCAGTTTTCTCTTTCCGTAGAAACGATCCTGCGTGTGCCAATCAACATGGCTGTTTGGAAGAGATACCTGATCACTTTCCTGCTGCTCGCATTATTCGTAACAGTCGCACTTGCGTCCGAGGAAGAAGAAGAAGAGGCAAGCTCGGTAAGTGTACCTCATCCCACATATCCATTTTGTAAACAATTAAAATGTACTGAGGCCGATCAGCTGAAAATGCTAACCAGCACAGTTTTTTGTTCTTTCTCGCTGTCACGTGATTTTTTGCTGACAATGTATCCAACCCCGTCCCGCCGCTATTTCTTGTGTCAGGGATCGAAAGACTCGACGCAAACCCTGAACGCAAACAAGGCGGGAGCCATTTTCGTTTTCTTCGCGTGCAGCTTCCTTGGCGTATGGCTTCCCTACTTCATTCCGGTCCACCAGCTCATTCTCAAGTTCGGAATTCTCTTTTCGACTGGTCTCTTCATCGGCATGTCACTTCTCTATCTCGCAGTTGAGACATTCGAGGAGATGGAAGAGCTCGCTGGAAAAGGTAGGCACATCTTCGCTCTCACTCGCTCGCCCTCTCGCCACTCACTTGCCTTCATTCGTTCACCTAAGCTTCATCTGTCATTAGATCCGGTTTTTCAGAGTACATCTTCAAATGCCGTCGATTTACGGCAGATGACATCCTGCTAACCCTGTTTCTCTCCGTTTGTTGACAGATTACCCTTACGGAATGCTGGTCATTGTGATGGGTATCTACCTCACGTGGCTCTGCGACCTCATCGTGAAGACCATTTGGCGAAAGAGATCTGGCTCTTTCGAAGAGAAGGTGCGTATCATAAGCCTCTAACAAGAAGACAAAACCTTCAATTGAAAAAAACACGAAGAAGTCTCGAAAGTTTGCGTGAGAATTTCACTGACATTATCTCGCCATCTTTTTCAGGAAGAGGAGCTGGGTCCAACAGTTGCTGGCGCCATGGGTGCTGGCCAGACCAAGGTGGTCGACGCAGACTCGGAGAATCAGAAGCAAATCGACGTGCAGGCTCTTTCCATCGTCGATGTCATCGTCGTGCTCTTCGCCCTCTGCTTCCACGCCTTTTTCGAGGGCATGGCTGTCGGCCTTGCGTCAACGGTTCAAAGAGTGTGGACCATGACTGCTCAGATTGGTGTCAATGAGGTAATAACCTCGTCCCAACATCTGCCATGAAATTCTCCGTTCTTCATCTGAAAGAAGGATGATTTGCATTCCGTTATGTTTTCCCCTTGTTTAGAATCTAACAGGGGGTCCCCTGCGTGTTGTTTCACATGTTTGCAGTTTTTCGAGGGCATGGCGCTTGGGGTGACTCTCCGCGTTCAAGACACGTCCCGCTCGTGGCTCAACCACCTGCTCTTTGCCATTGGAGCTTCCATCGTCGCTCCCACTGGAATCGCCATTGGTCTCGCGATTGATTCAGCAAGCGGCAAAGAGGCTAGGAACTGGGTGAAGGCCTTCGGAAACGGCATGGCTGCCGGGGTATTTATATTTATCGCTCTTGGTCATTTGCTGGCCAAGGGAATGAAGCCAGGAGCCAATGATAGGTGGTGGATGGTGTTCGTCAAGTGGTTTGTGGCAGGGCTTGGTGTCATGACCAATGCTCTACTCCAGCTGTGGGGAGAGAGCTGAACATAGCAGCTCTCAGCAAGTGCTAGACTACTGATAATTTAGGAATTGTATTATGAGCTACCTAATTATATCCAAGCAAATGTCGTCCCTCATGATATAATTTCTGCAGGGGAGCAATATTCATACCCACAAAAACAATGTGGAACACTATTTATCCCAGGATAATAATAATAGTAGTAATAACAATAAGAAAAAAGTCCTACAGCTGAGTAGGGATGGTAAATTGCTAATATCAGTATGCGGCATGGTAAATTGCTACGATAATACCAGAAGCCCATTATTGTCCGCGCACCATGAAGCCCATTTGAGCATGATTTAGTATTGCTAACTATACCGTAGCTAGCATATAAAAGCAGAGGAGAAACTTGCTCTTGCTGCTCGAATTTGCTCCCATAGCCTCTCCTCTCCTGTCCGACAAAACAGATAGAGCATGGGAAAGGCAGGGTAATCAAACGAAACTGAAGCCCATACAATATGCACAAAGCATACGAAGGATACGAGGAGAAGTGGAAGTGGGACGCGTCAATGCACAATAAGGAAGAGGGTTGAATGGAGGACACAGAAAAAAGAAATACCTTATTACCTTATGTCGCTTCCCCCTCATTTCTGCTGCTGCTCCTTCTCCTGTGTCATGCCAGCACCCGATCACCTGAGAGTCACAATTGCTTAGGAGAAAACAGAGTGAGTGGGAGATGAGGAAGTGGGAGTATCAGGGCATGTTCCTACAGCCCCTTATCAGACGAACCTCTTGTCAGCTTCGCATGGTTAAATTTGTTTCAGTATAATCAACTGCGGTTACGTGTGTTTCAGTGCGGTTCGACGCGAATCTGACTAGAGGCCGTAG